ACAGCCATTCATTACCAACACCTCTTCTTGGCAAAATGCCACGTATAACAGGGTGCCCCCCCCCTTCTTCCTAATTATGTCTATAGCTGTCCTGAACTTTCTAACTAAATCCTCACTTCTACGCTTGCCTACATCATTGCCTCCAGCACTGAGGCAAATAATAGGGTTGATCCCATTACCGTTCATGATGTTGTCAAGCCGGCTAACAATGTTCTCCATCCCAGCCCCAGGAAAGCATACCCTCTGTCTCCTACTCCTGACCTTCAAGCAAAATGCCCTATCCATGTATCTAACCTGGCTATCCCCAACAACAACAATATTCTTACCTTCAGTGGCGTCGTTCGTCGTGATGTTCCCAGTAGTCGAGTCACATTCGTCGGGTAGCACGGAGAATGCATTAGATGTTTCCACAGCAGTCTCTTTCTTCTTCATCGTTTCTGTCTTTCCTTTCTTCTTGATCGTCAACTTCGTTCCGTGCTGTCCAGCCACTGACCATGTTCCCTTGTTGACCTGAGGACTCAAAACAGGAGGACTACTACGAATCCTCTTGTTTTCCTCAGTCAATCGCCGTATCTCCATCTTCGCTACTCTCAATTCTTCCTTAAGCTGCTGGTAAAGTTGCTCGACGGAGGGCATCTTGGTTCAGTCCACGGATAGCACACAAGACACTTCTTCACAGAGTTAAGTACAGTGGACCCCCGGTTAACGAACGTTTTTCATTCCAGTAGTATGTTCAGGTGCCAGTACTGACCGAATTTTTTCCCATAAGGAATATTGTGAAGTAGATTAATCCATTTCAGACCCCCAAACATACACGTACAAACGCACTTACATAAATACACTTACATAATTGGTCGCATTTGGAGGCGATCGTTAAGCGGGGGTCCACTGTACAGGTCACCACTGAGTTAAGTACAGGTCACCACTCATCAGTGACATACTACTACTATACAGAGAGCCCCTTGTTATGCAGAATATTTCGGGCAAATTAGGTGATTTTGTCCCCAGGATGTGACCCACACCAGTTGACTAACACCCAGGTACCTATTTTACTGATAGGTGAACATGGACAGCAGGTGTCTTGAGGAAACTCCCTAACGTTTCCACTTGTACCGGAGATCAACCCCGGACCTCAGTGTGTGAGCTGAGTGTTCTAGTGATCGAGCTAAGGGACACATTAGGTTAAGTTACATTTCTTACTAAATCTTCAGTAAACCCACACAATCCACCTAACATTAGACACTTTCATGAATAAATTAAGGATCAACTCATCCCATGATCTGAAGTCAAATGCAACCAAAGCACCTACCGGTTCCACATATTTTCTTTGGTCAGCACTAAATGAGCCCTGTAGATTAGGCACTTCCCATTAATGTAATTAATATAATGATAATGTCCTTGTCAGTAAAAATAAAAATTGGCACATTCCTAAAATGACTGTTGACTTTTATTATTGATTGAACAGTGTTTAGAGGTTTTGTAATTATTTACATAAAATACAAGCACGGAGGCTTGTATTTTATGTAAATTCTCTGATGTTGATTAGATTGTGTAAGGAAGACAGGGATCTTTTGGGCCTAAAGCTATTTTTTGGTAAAAAAAAAAATTAACCTGACTTGAATTCAGTCTACCATACCCTAGAATCTACCTCCTGATTTAAGTTTGGTTAGGTTTCATTACCACAGTTATATTATTTTAGGTCTGTGGGATAGCTGCTGCTATTCCACAGGCCTAAAATAATATTTTTTTATTTTTTCAACACCTCAGTCGTCTCCCACCGAGGCAGGGTGACCCAAAAAGAAAGGAAATCCCCAAACAGAAAATACTGTCATCATCATTCAGCACTTTCACCTCACTCATGCATAATCACTGTCTTTGCAGAGGTGCTCATATATGACAGTTTATAAGTCAACCTCCAAACTGCCGGTATCCCAAACCTCTTCTTTAAAGTGCGGGCATTGTACTTCCCATTTCCAGGACTCACGTCCAGCTAACCAGTTTCCCTGAATCCCTTCACAAAATATTACCCTGCTCACACTCCAACAGCTTGTCAGGTCCCAAAAACTATTTGTCTCCATTCACTCCTGTCCAACATGCTCACACATGCTTGCTGGAAGTCCAAGCCCCTTGCCCACAAAACCTCCTTTACCCCCTCCCTCCAACCTTTTTGAGGACGACCCCTACCCTGCCTTCCTTTCCTGCAGATTTATATGCTCTCCAAGTCATTTTACTTTGATCCATTCTCTTTAAATGACCAAACCATGTCAACAACCCCTCTTCAGCCCTCTGACTAATACTTTTAGTAACTCCACACCTCCTCCTAATTTCCACATTCCGAATTTTCTGCATAATACAGTGGACCCCCAGTTAACGATATTTTTTCAATCCAGAAGTATGTTCAGGTGCCAGTACTGACCGAATTTGTTCCCATAAGGAATATTGTGAAGTAGATTAGTCCATTTCAGACCCCCAAAGATACACGTACAAACACACTTACATAAATACACTTACATAATTGGTCGCATTCGGAGGTGATCGTTATGCGGGGGTCCACTGTACATGTATTTACACCACACATTGCCCTTAGAAAGGACATCTCCACTGCCTCCAGCCACCTCCTCACTGCAGCATTTGCAACCCAAGCTTCACACCCATATAAGAGTGTTGGTAAAATAATATAACTATGTTTATTACCCAGCTCAGTAAAGAAGAATTTATATAATTTCTCAATAAGTTTTAAAAAAAGACCCTAAATTCAATATTTTTCGTAATTATTTACGTTGTTGTAGGTAGCCTTCCCCATTTTACCTGTTCAAAAGCAACTCCCTCAAGGAAATTGTACCTAACATCTGCCAGTTGCTGTGTGATCCTATGGATATAGCACTTCCCCCCAAAATACAGTATACTGTACATAATAATATTTACCATGGGTCCCCTGAAAAGAGAAGGCCCTTAATGCTGGTAAGGAATTCTTGATCTAGGGAATTGAACCTGACAACCTCTTCCTTAGATTAAACTTGATTGCCATCCATTTCCCCAGGTGTTGTATGACCCCTATAGGCTCAGCATTTCCCCATGAATTCAATAATAATATTAGGCCTTATGATAAGTAAGACACATGTGCAACAGTTAGATATATTCCAAAACATTTCGCATACACAGTAAGTAAGTTTATTTAGGTATACACAAATACAGTTACATAGATTATCATACATAGCAGCATGTGTAGAGAACCTAGGATAACCCAAAGTGTCAGACAGAGTGACTTATTTCCATTGGGGTCCTTTTACCTTATTATTATAATATGAAGGTTATATCTTATTATTATTCTATAATGAAGATAACATCTTATTATCATACCAAGAAGACTATCTACTACATGAGGGTCATTAAGACTATCTACAATAAGAGGGTCATTATTAGGAATAAGGTAAAATTACACGTGTGTCGAGTACAGAGGAGTTAGCAGAAGTAGTAGAGATGTAAAGATGATGTAATGAGTCCATCACCCTTGAAGATGTAATTTTGAAGTTGTCAGTCCTTAAGCCCGGAGAAGAGCTTTGCTCTATAGTAAAGTTGAAGCAACAGTATGGAGATTTATGTACTGCCAAAGGTGAGGTGCATCCTACTAGTAGAAGAAAGAATGTAATCAATGAGAGTACAGGTTCCTCTCAGATCCATCCCTTCTCTCTTGTACTGTAAACAGTGGTTAGGCAAAAAAGTCATCAAAGGTGTTTTCTGTGCCAAGATACCATTGTGTTGCAGTGTCTGACAGGGTGAATATGAGGCATGATGTATGTGTATATATTCATGCATTCATTTATGCCCTACACGTACAGAGCAAAATAACAGAATAACTCGGATCATTGTTACATAATGAATGCTAACAATACAGGAAATCACTTTCTGTAGCTCCCTTTATTAGATATTCTTCAACTCTAGTTTTATATTGATTTATACTCAGACTGGTCTTAAGATGGTAGTAACCCATTCCAGTTCTTTATTGCTGTATATGTAATATGTATTTAAGGCTTAGCCACCTACTGTGGTGAAGGGCTGTTGATCCATGGTGCTTGGCCTATCATCCCCTGATTTGAATTAAACCTAATTACCCCACACTGTCCCCTCAAGGTAAGTTCCTCAATGGTAGCAAGGAGCTCTTAATCCTAGGAATTAGACCTGTCCTTTTCGTTCTGTGACTCGCAAATTACCTCCCTTTAGTAAGTTTATTTAGGTATGATCCATATGGGTTTAGTATGTCCCCATAAATATAATATATAATGCTGACAACCTTTCCTTTGCTCAGGTGCTGTGTATCCCTTACAAATTTAATACCTTTTTTCTGAAAAAAAGTAAATGTATAAAAGGTATAATTTGGTTTTCATGGCCAATCCATGAAAATCCACTGGTTAAATTGTGCTGCTAACTTCTTTACTTTCAATGTTGATTGCAGTATATCTGTAAATTGTGCACAGTACTGTATTAGGTATATATTAATGTGCTTTAGTGCATTTCATTGCTCTTTTTCAACACGATTTAGATTTAATGGATACTCGGACAATCTCCCTATTAATCTGTTATTTTGAGGGTTTACTGTATTGGTCGTGGCAAAAATTTTCATATTGTCCCATCACTATACTGTATGTATATTCATCTCTTGATTTATATGACTATCTAGCTTGATAATTTTCTTGTTTGTGTCAACTCATTGAATAGTCCATTACAAAAATGTTTTTCTTTATGCAATCTCATGAAAATTAGTAAGAAATTTCCTATGATATTTAAGACACATTTTAATTTTGCAGCCAAATGGACAAGCCATGCATTTATGCTGATGAACTTAATGTGTAGAACTGCCTGAAAGTTTGGGAGTGATCACTATATAATTACCGTATTAGTGCTTACATAAATAACGTGATGGTGAATTACTGCATTAAACAAAAAATTACATATTCAAAGCTGTTACTCTTGATTTTCTAAAATCTGTTTTTATTTTGCAGGTAATCATGTCAAATTCTCTTAGCTCCTTCCTCGTTCGAAGCTCAAGTCAAGCAGCAGTACCATTTGAAGGGGAGACATCATGTTCACCATTGTCTGCAGGAGCTTTTTTGACTGGGTTAACAACTAGCCCACATGTATCTAATTCCTTCCTTACAGCAACATCACAAACTTCTGATTCAGCATTTCTGACTAGTCAAGCAGGAACCTCAAAAACATTTCTCAGCCTTTCTGAATCCTCAGAAACAGCTGAAACATTTCTTTCAAGTACAGAGGGAGATGTAAGCACTGCTGAAGAGGTGCTCTTGAGCAGAAATGTAGGTGAATATGAAGAGGTAGCACAGGGTCCAATGCTATACTTGGTTCCTGCTACTGGTCTTCATGTATTAGTTCACCATCTGCCTCACTCCACACAAGAGTCTACAGGGCCTCAGGTAATTTTTTTTAAGCAGAACAAATTATTATTATTATTATTATTATTATTATTTTAAGAATTTTGCTTCGCTGACAATTTTTTTTTATTATTCATTTATATGTACTGTAATCTGTTTAGTTTTTGTCTGGTGTATGTCTTTAGATGTGCTGTATATCCCCCAATTTTTTAAATCTTTTACAGTAGTTACTAACTACCAAACAGGAGACAAAGAGAATTAACCCTTTCAGGGTTTCGGCCGTACTAGTACGGCTTACGCACCAGTGTCCATGACATACTAGTACTCATAAATTCTAGCACCTTCAAATCTAGTGAGAGAAAGCTGGTAGGCCTACATATGAAAGAATGGGTCTATGTGGTCAGTGTGCGCAGTATAAAAAAAATCCTGCAGCACACACTGCGTAATAAGAATAAAAAAACTTTGACCGTGTTTTTGGATTAAAACAGCGACTTTGCACTATATTTTCGTATGTTATTTATTGTTGTATTCTAGTTTTCCTGGTCTCATTGAATAGAATGGAAGACATATTATGGAAATTGAGATGATTTTGACTGGTTTTACAATGAAAAGTACCTTGAAATTGAGCTCAAATTAGCAGAAATATTCGATTTTTACCAAAGTTCAAAAGTAAACAAATCATACTAAGCGTCCAATACACATCAACTGGTGAGTCTAATATTCGTTCACAAGTGCACCAATATTATTTATACCATTTCTACACTAATGCAGTAGTCTGCATAACAGTAAATGCCTTTAGTTCTATGACCACCACCACCACTAGTACTCTTACTGCCACTCCTGTCTTTTCCCAGCTCCTACTCTATTGTTTTCTTACCCCAATTGTGATATAAGAATGGTCCAGGATAGGCCAAAACATTGTTGTGAGGTTCCTCTCCTGTTTATGGGTTTTTGGTGATGTACAATTTTTTTTTTTCCAACAAACCGGCCATATCCCACCAAGGCAGGGTGGCCCAAAAAGAAAAACGAAAGTTTCTCTTTCTAAATTTAGTAATTTATACGGGAGAAGGGGTTACTAGTCCCTTGCTCCTGGCATTTTAGTCGCCTCTTACAACACGCATGGCTTAGGGAGGAAGAATTCTGTTCCACTTCCCCATGGAGATAAGAGGAAATAAACACGAACAAGAACTAGAAAGAAAATAGAAGGAAACCCAGATGGGTGTGTATATATATGCTTGTACATGTATGTGTAGTGTGACCTAAGTGTAAGTAGAAGTAGCAAGACATACCTGAAATCTTGCATGTTTATGAGACAGAAAAAAAGGACACCAGCAATCCTACCATCACGTAAAACAATTACAGACTTTCATTTTACACTCACTTGGCAGGACGGTAGTACCTCCCTGGGTGGTTGCTGTCTACTAACCTACTACCTAGAACTTGTACAATATGTGTGTATATGCTTGATTGTGCTTAAGCATTTAATGATACTGTAGTCATGATTGTGTGTATTCCTACATAAAATATGGTTATATTGCAGTTACCAGGAGATGACAGTTCTCAGGAACAGTTTGTGGTTGTGGGAGCACTGCAGTCTGAAGAAGAGCAAGTTATAATGGAAGGGTCCCTCACTGAACATCCCCCAGGAAACACTTCTCATATATCTGTTGGTAAGTTTCTTATAGCTGCCTTATAAATATATATATTTTCTATTTTGGAATTGAGAGTAAGTGGCCCACTTGAATGGCACACCTCAGTTGCACTTCTATTCTCTCTAAACCTCAGCAAAGTTCCTATGTCTGTTGTATGCCCATTGATGACTGACTTATACCTTTAAGTGATCAACTTGATCCAGGACTCCCAGAATGCATCAAAATTTGGTTTACATCACTGCATAAACACAATGCCCTAACCTCTACAGGGATTTTTTATTTTGGGGGATCATAGAGCCCCTTTGCTCTTCAGAATTTTTTTTTTTATAATGGTTTGGCATTTACCATTGCCTGCAATAGGACTTGTGATATCTGTTCAGCCTGCCTGACTTGCCCACAGTCAGGCCAGACTATGTCACTTTTTAACAAGGATTATAAGTGTTTAGTGTGTAGTGGTCCCTTGATTGTGTCGAGCCATGCCCCTCCTCGTACTACAGGCTGCACTCAGTCGTCTCATTAATCAGTTGGCTCAACAACTGTCAAAAGGGTTTTGGCCACAGCACCTTTTCCCCTGGGTCTCCAAGCTTACTTTGGCTGTTTTTGTGTTGCTTCAATTCTGGACAGTAGAAGAATGATGGTGAGTGGTGGGAAAGGAAGCTGAACTGGGCACAGTAGAGCATGTAAGACTGTATTAGGGCTAGGAGAGGTAAATAGTGTGTGTATTAGATGCAACATATTCCAGCTGGGTCGCTTAGGGCCCCTGATTTAGAAAGGAATATTTCGGCATTTAAAGTGCAGTTACTGTTTATACCATATTTGATCTTTATTTTGAGTAGCAATTCACATTAATGAAAGTTTAGGAATTGTTCAGTTCATGATCAGGTTGTAAGAACAAATGTATTTCATCTTTGTAGTCTGGAAAACCCCTTCAGTGCAGTAACTGGTGAATGCCTCTTCTGACTGGCTTCAGACTTTACATGTTGGGGTGTCTTGCTTAGTGGAAAATTCAGAATGGTGTTGGAATGTAGATTTCATCTTGATAATTTTATTTTAAAGAATTTATATGATTTTTATTTTGTCTGCCTCACACTTTCAAAAATTTTAGATGGCTTTTCAGGCTTCAATTTTCAAATTGTATTTAGAAAATTTTGAGTATAATAACACAGAATCATAATAGCACAGAACAGGTGGGGTTTGAACCAATGGTAAGTGAGATGTAAAACTCCAGGCTAGTGTTTAAGCCAGCTGGTCCAATAGCTTATGCACTGACCTGGAATTTTATGACTCACTTGCTATGGGTTCAAACCCCACCTGTTCTGTGGTTTGGACCACTATGAAGCTGAGCTGTCGTGCAGAAAAACTAAACAAACCTCTGTATTACAGTAGACAACTGTAAGCCATGTGACCGTTACTTGTGGTTTAAATATTCTGCCATTTAAATTTAGTTTTTCATTTCTAATAGAAGTGTGTTACGTATTTAAATTTAGACATGCCACAGCAGAATTCATTTCCGTTGTTGGCATTCATTTCCATTAAGGAGTGCTGTGGCAGGCAGGCAGGAGACCCTCTACTTTGCATTGGGCAACACCATTGTCTTAGCGCTGCAGGGGAAGGTAGGGGGATGTAAACAGTTTTGCTCAAGTACCATATGATTTTCACTCAGTGCACACCAGTTGGTTCTTCCTATTTTCATCATCCCAATTTGTCTCTTAGATAATTATCATGACTTCCAAATGAAGTGCAGGTGGCACTGGTAATACAAGGAAGAAAATTAAGCTTGAAACTATTCCTCTTTTGAAAAAAACTGAAAGTAATTGAGATGCTGAAGAGTGGTGCATTTGTCATGGGGAGGGTACTAGTGTTTGTTGTTAGTGAATCGATAATTTTTTTAAGTTGAGTTAGTGAGGCAAAAAGAAAGGCTTGTGCATTGAGTAATCTTCACTGTGAAACAATGAAATGAATCAGGATTAGGTCATTACAGTTAAACAACAGGAAGTTTACTAAATGTGTGGATTGAAAAATAAAATTAGGTTTTCCACTTGATGGCTGCATTATTAGGGAAAAAAACATTATCATATTACAAAAAAATGTGTGAGGAGGAAAATCAGCCTGAAAATGAATGCTTATTTATCATTCCAAGAATCTCCGTGCTGCCTCTTATTTGGAAGTCTAACACCACATCATGGGTTACTGAGGCCTTTTTTTCATGGAGTGGTTCAAGCATCACTTTATTCCTGAAGTGAGGATGTATCTGTCCCTGAAAAATCTTGCATTCTAGGCTCCCCTTGTCCTTGGTAATTGTCATAGTCATCTTCAACTCCAGGATGTGGAGCCAGGTGTCAAGATTGTCTTTTTACCACCAGATACAGCATCCTTGATGCAACCATTGGATTGAGGAGTCATCAAAACATTTTAAATGCCACTACACACACGGTGTCACGCAGCGTCACGCAGCAACTACAGGTCCACATCCCTTTATCCGAAATTCTGAAATTTGAAAAGTTCCAAAAACCTAAGTTTTTTCATGGAGTGTGGAGTGTCAGTCACAGTGGCAGACATCAGTTGTGTCTCAGCACATGTAGTGTTTACACGTGCATCTGCTTTTCACCAATATTTTCTTTTTGCTTTTTATTTTGTGGTTGTGTTTAATTTCACTGTGAAAATGTCAAAAAGAGCTGCAGATACCCCTATCGGTAACAGTAAGAAAAAGAAAAGGAAGCATCTGACATTATCAATAATACAGAAAGTAGTTACTGCAGAAGCTTGATCGTGATGTGTCAGTGTGGCATCTTACTGAAGAATATGGTGTTTGAACTACCACTGTTTATGATTTAAAGGAACAGAAATACAAGTTACTGAAGTATTATAGTGACAGTGATGACCAAAAACTAATGAAAAATGTGAAAACACTGCATAGAGCAAAAAACAAAGATCTTGACTATGTGCTAACGGAGTGGGTTTGACAACGAAGAAGTAAACATATGCCACTGACTGGTCATGAAACAAGCTAGAATATGTCATGAACTGAACATGGAACGTGAGTGTCAATATTCAGATGGTTGGCTGCAGAAATTTAAGAAGTGTAATGGTGTAAAATGTCTCGGCTTCTGCTGAGATTGCTTAGACAGAAAACATATGTTACCAAGACAGATGACACTGAAAGAAGTCTTTAAAAATGCTGTCTGTCAGTCGTCTTGAGAATTATATCCCCAGTCTATAATTACCTGAATGCTAAAGTAGGAGAAACTTTTAGAGAGGGTGTGGTAGGTAAGTTTGGGGTGCCAGGTGTAAATGATAATGGGAGCCCTTTGATTGAACTTTGTATAGAAAGGGGTTTAGTTATAGGTAATACATATTTTAAGAAAAAGAGGATAAATAAGTATACACGATATGATGTAGGGCGAAATGACAGTAGTTTGTTGGATTATGTATTGGTAGATAAAAGACTGGTGAGTAGACTTCAGGATGTACATGTTTATAGAGGGGCCACAGATATATCAGATCACTTTCTAGTTGTAGCTACACTGAGAGTAAAAGGTAGATGGGATACAAGGAGAATAGAAGCATCAGGGAAGAGAGAGGTGAAGGTTTATAAACTAAAAGAGGAGGCAGTTAGGGTAAGATATAAACAGCTATTGGAGGATAGATGGGCTAATGAGAGCATAGGCAATGGGGTCGAAGAGGAATGGGGTAGGTTTAAAAATGTAGTGTTAGAGTGTTCAGCAGAAGTTTGTGGTTACAGGAAAGTGGGTGCAGGAGGGAAGAGGAGCGATTGGTGGAATGATGATGTAAAGAGAGTAGTAAGGAGAAAAAGCTAGCATATGAGAAGTTTTTACAAAGTAGAAGTGATGCAAGGAGGGAAGAGTATATGGAGAAAAAGAGAGAGGTTAAGAGAGTGGTGAAGCAATGTAAAAAGAGAGCAAATGAGAGAGTGGGTGAGATGTTATCAACAAATTTTGTTGAAAATAAGAAAAAGTTTTGGAGTGAGATTAACAAGTTAAGAAAGCCTAGAGAACAAATGGATTCGTCAGTTTAAAAATAGGAGAGGAGAGTTATTAAATGGAGAGTTAGAGGTATTGGGAAGATGGAGGGAATATTTTGAGGAATTGTTAAATGTTGATGAAGATAGGGAAGCTGTGATTTCGTGTATAGGGCAAGGAGGAATAACATCTTGTAGGAGTGAGGAAGAGCCAGTTGTGAGTGTGGGGGAAGTTCGTGAGGCAGTAGGTAAAATGAAAGGGGGTAAGGCAGCCGGGATTGATGGGATAAAGATAGAAATGTTAAAAGCAGGTGGGGATATAGTTTTGGAGTGGTTGGTGCAATTATTTAATAAATGTTTGGAAGAGGGTAAGGTACCTAGGGATTGGCAGAGAGCATGCATAGTTCCTTTGTATAAAGGCAAAGGGGATAAAAGAGAGTGCAAAAATTATAGGGGGATAAGTCTGTTGAGTGTACCTGGTAAAGTGTATGGTAGAGTTATAATTGAAAGAATTAAGAGGAAGACGGAGAATAGGATAGCAGATGAACAAGGAGGCTTTAGGAAAGGTAGGGGGTGTGTGGACCAGGTGTTTACAGTGAAACATATAAGTGAACAGTATTTAGATAAGGCTAAAGAGGTCTTTGTGGCATTTATGGATTTGGAAAAGGCGTATGACAGGTGGATAGGGGGCAATGTGGCAGATGTTGCAAGTGTATGGTGTAGGAGGTTAGGTTACTGAAAGCAGTGAAGAGTTTTTTCGAGGGTAGTGACTCAAGTTAGAGTAAAGTAGGGAAAAAGGGAAATTTTTTCCCAGTAAAAGGTTAAAAATAATTTGGGGGCCCCCAGGGGCCCCAAGAAAGCTTCTAGTCCCAAACCCCCGTGGAAAAAAAGGGTTTGAAAATTTAAAGTAGGAATTAAAAAAGTTTTTAAAGGGGTTTGGGGGTAACCCGAGAACCCTATGCCAGTTGTTGGAATCCTTGTCCCTACTTCAAAGTTTAAAAGGAAATGTGTGCACAGGGGGTTTGAACTGAAAAAACTTTAAAGTGAAAATCCCCCTAAAAAGCTTTTTTGAAAACCCGGGCTGTTGACTATTTCAATGCCCAAAGTTGGGGCCCCAATTTTAGAAAATTCGTAAAGGAACGGGGGGTTTCAAGACTCTATGGACGATTTGTTGGCGACAGGGGTTCCAGTGACTCTAAAGCTTTTCCTGTGGCTTTAAAAGAAAAAGGGGAAGAAACCCCGGAAAAGGGGATTTTGCTACCTCAAGTCGTAAGGGAAAAGGGGTTTTCCCCTTCTAAACAGAAAGAAGTAATGCTCCCCCCCTCCTCCCACCCCATAAAATCATCACCAGATTTTTCAAAAAAAGAAGGTCTTTTAAAATTGTGAAAGGGCCTTTTTCAGTTTGTGTGTTTTTAAAAAAAAAACATTTATGTGGTAAAAAAAATTTTTTTTCATCCCTTTTGGGGTCTTGCCGGAAAAAATTTGTTTTCCCTTTATTTCTTTTTGGGGAAAAAAATTCATTCGCAAACGATTATTTGCATAAAACGATGAGCCCTCTTCCCCCGGTTTAAAAAATGTTAACCGGGGGCCACTGTACGGGTAATAAAATCTCTTTGGGCACATTAAAGACTTTTTTTAAACTTTAATGTAAACATTTTCATTAACCCCATCAAAGTTTTTTTCTTCAAAATTAATAAGAAACAGTTACATAACCTATGAACATTATACATACACCCACAGAAAAAAAAAATTGACTTTTAAATATAAGATTTTTTTTTAAAAAGGGGCTTTTTTGGGATTTGTCGGAAAAATTACTTTTTCTCAAAGTCAACACGGGGGGATAACTGTAGATAAATATTCCTTTCGTTTCCCTTTACCTTATAAAACCCCAAAAATGGATCCTTGGGGGTTTTAGTGTTTCCCTTTTTTATTAGGATTATAATAATTTTTAATAAAAATTTGTAATAATAATAATTTGTAAAAAAAAAAAGGGGATGTGTGTTTGTCACCGTGGTTTTTAATATATTTATAAAATGGGGTTGAAAGGGGAAGTAAGTGCGAGGGTTTCAAATTTTTTGGGATTTAAAAATAAAATCACACACAAAGTGGGATTTTGTCACAGTTGCTCTTTGCTGATAAAAACTGTGCTCTTGGGAGATTTTTAAAGGGGAATTTGCAGAGATTGTGGATGAATTTGGTGGGGGTGTGCAAAAAAAGGGAAAAAAAAAGTGAATACGGGAAAAAGAGAAAAAGGTTATGAGGATAAAAAAAAGTTTAAAAGGTGGATGAAAGTTTGGAATCAGATTGGAGGGAGAGAGATGGAGGAGGTAAAAGTATTCAGATTTTTGGGGGGGGAAACGTGCCCAGCGGATGGGTCTATGAAAGATGAGGTAATCAAAAGAATTGATGAGGGGAAAAGGGTGAATGGGTGCATTTGGGGAGTCTGTGGAGTTTAAAGAACTTTTTGGTCCTTGGGGCAAAGGGGGGAAATGTATGAAAAGTATATTTTTTACCAACCTCTTATGTGGGGGGGGTAAAAGCATGGGGGTGATGTTGCAGCGGGAGAAGGCGGGAGGCAGTAAGATGTCATGCCCTGGGGGCAATGTGTGGTTTTGAAAAATAATGCAGAAATTCTTTATTTTTGGAAGTTAGGAGGGGGTGCGGATTACCAAAACTGTTGTCCAGAGGGTGGGGAAAGGGGTTGTTGAGGTGGTTGGACATGTAGAGAAAAAGGAGCGAAACAAAAATGACTTCAGATGAAATCATTCTGTAGGGGAAGGAAGGCGGGGTGGGGGTCGGGCCTAAAAAAGGTTGGAGGGAGGGGGTTTTAAAGGAGGTTTTTGTGTGGGGGGCTTGGATTTTCCAGCAGGCATGCGGGGGAGGGGTTTTTTGTTTACGAGTAAAAGGGAGACAAGGGTTTTTTTAAAATTACTTGCGTGGTGTTGGAGTGTGAGCAAGTAACATTTATAAAGGGGGTTGGGGAAAACCCGGGCGGGGCCGGGATTTTGGTCCGGGAAAGATGGGGAATTTACAGTGCCCATTAAAGGAGGGGTGTTAATTTTTGCATTTTTAAAAACTGTAGGGGAAAGCACCCTTCGGGCGAGACATTTAAATAAAGTAAATGATGGTAAAAAATTTTTTTTTTTGGGGCCACCCTGTCTTGGTGGGAACCCGGCCCTTTTTGTGATAAAATAATAATAAGTTGTCAGAGAAACTTTCCCTTCTAAAAATTACATGAAAGGGAAAAGTGTTGGCCCTTTAAATTTTTACTGAAACCACTGGGGAAACAACTTGAAAAAAAGAAAGGTTTTTTGAAAATGAGTGTTTATAAACCCATAAACAAAATTGCATCGTCTGTTTGTTTACATAGTGGGTGGGGTGGCCAGGCCCCCCCCCCCCT